GTTTATGCTCCTCTCTCCAGAAACTAATATTGGAAGATATCAGATGGGATGTGTTCCAAAAGATTACTGATGTTGGCCCCAATACAGCCTATTCTTCAACTTGGCATTTTATGGGTACATTCTCCATGTGTGGGATTGACATATTGGGATGTTCCATCTCCAGATGCAGCTTATAATTAGGGATGGGGGAAGGATTGTACTGAAATAGATTACACTGTCCTCAACTACAACTCCTTACTTAATGAAATGTAACTTTTAACAAAACTTGGCTGTGAATGGACTGGTATATGTATAAAAGTAGATGGGAATTAACATAAGCATGTGGGATCTGATGGTGAAGAACACACAAACATATGATCCTAGATTTTATTTTATAATAGCAATAGCACTTAAACTTACAGTAAATATCACACAGGACAGATCAAAGCACAGACTTTTCTAGAGAGAAGTTCTCTGAAAATGGGCTCCAGTATGAGTCCGAAAGCTTGGAAGATAAAACCGCTGGTCCCAGTCACCGATCCAGATTGGATCCTGCAACATTATCCTGGGATTCATACATGTGCCTTCATTTGTGAGTATCTCTTCATAAATATGGTAAAAATAAGGAATGCAATGTGAAACAGAGATATAAATATAAATGTACAGGTATACATAAAATTTACCAGAACACTGTAAGATATTGAGAAACACTGGGTAATAAACAAGATAAAAACAAAACATTCCATTAAATTAATAAATAAATAAAACAGTACCGAGGCTCAAAACCACAAAACCACCAATTATATATACCCATGCTAGAAAGTGTATGTTAACACACACAATCCCAACCCTTGGGGGAAGAATCAGGTCTTCACAGCCTTATAAAAAGTCAGTAGAGATGGGGCTGTATGTATTTCAGGAAGGAGGCTGGTGCTAAGTGCCATGGCAGAGAAGTCACACTTCTGGGGACCCACCAGATAATGCTACTTTATCAATGGTCCTGAAACATGGCCACTCTTCCAGTTCTGGTGAGGTAGACAGAAACTACTAGGAAGAGACAATTCTGCAAGTAACATGGTTCAAAACCACACAGGAATTTAAAATGACAACCAGATCCTTGAATTGCACACAGAAACCCATTGAGAGGCAGTGCAGATGATAGGACAGCAATGTTACATGAGTATATCATGGTGTACCCCAAACTGCATGTTGCTGCATTCTGGTTCAGCTGAAGTTCTGAGTGTTCTTCCTGGACAACCCTGTGAAGAGCTTGAACACTAAAACATATGAAGAATGGTTGCAGGATTTGGGTATGGCTATCATCTCCTAGGCGTGAGCAGTATTCCAGTATTTGAGGGGCTGCTATAAAGAAGAGGGGGTCAACTTATTCATCAAAGCATCAGCAGGCAAGATAAGAAACAATGGATGTAAACTAATCAAGGAGAGAAGCAGCCTGGAATTAAGGAGAAACTTCCTAACAATGAGAATAATTAACCAGTGGAATGCTTTGCCTTCAGAAGTTGTGGGTGCTTCATTACTGGAGGTTTTTAAGAAGAGACTGGAGTCCTAGTGGACAATCACTTAAATATGAGCCAACAATGTGCTGCAGCTGCCAAAAAAGCCAACACAGTGCTAGGCTGCATTAACAGAGGGATAGAGTCAAGATCACGTGAAGTATTAATACCACTTTATAATGCCTGGTAAGGCCACACTTGGAATACTGCATCATTTTGATCACCACAATGTAAAAAAAATGTTGAGACTCTAGAAAGAGCAACAAAGATGATCAGGGGACTGGAGGCTAAAACATATAAGGAACAGTTGCTGGAATTGGGTATGTCTAGTTTAATGAAGAGAAGGACGAAGGGTGACATGATAGCAGTGTTCCAATATCTCAGGGGTTCCCACAAAGAAAAGGGAGTCAGGCTATTCTCCAAAGCACCTGAAGGCAGGACAAGAAGCAACGGATGGAAACTAACCAAAGAGAGAAGCAACCTAGAACTAAGGAGAAATTTTCTGACAGTTAAAACAATTAACCGGAGGAACAACCTGCCTCCAGAAGCTGTGAATGCTCCAACACTGGAAGTTTTTAAGAAGAGATTGGAGAGCCATTTGATTGGAGAGCCATTTGTCGAAACATCATCATCATCATCATCATCATCACTATCACTATCATTATTATGGATCATCGCACAGTCAGCCAGATGTTCAGACTGGATTTGGCATTTTGTCTACCTATCGAGTCCTTACCCAGGACCTGGGACCTCGGTCTCTTTCTTCAATCTTCCTGCTCTTAGCCATTACCAGGTCTTGTTATTATCTGCTTTCCCAGCTATTTTTTTAATGTATTGGCCATGTAGTGCTTTGTCTTCCCATGCCTCTATTCTGTTCTTCATTTGGTCTTTCTTGTAGGCCAGTTTGGTCTCTCCAGTAGTTAGTAAGCCTTCCTGATATACTATTTTCAGGGCATCTTCATCATTGTTCTTCAGATATTCTTCCAAAGCTATTTTTTCTTCTTCAACCATCTGATGTACTTGTAGCATTCCACGCCCACCTATTTGCCTTGGTAGATAAAGTCTATCAATGTCACTGCGTGGATGAAGGGCGTGATTCATTGTCATTATTTTTCTGGTCTGCCTATCCATTGCTTTTAGTTCTGCTTGAGTCCAGTCCACTATTCCAGATGTGTACCTAATGACTGGGATTGCCCAGGTGTTGATTGCCTTTATGGTATTTCCTCCATTGAGTTTGGACTTTAAGATCTTCTTCACTCTCTTGATGTATTCACCACTAATCTTTTTCTTGACTTCAGTGTGCTTGATGTTGTCAGCTTGAAGGATACCCAAGTATTTATAGTAATCTTCCTCATCCAGACTCTTAATGTTATTTTCGTGGGGCATCTTGATTCCTTCATTTTCACTACTTTTCTTTGTTTGATAGTAAGTGTGGCACATTTGTCCAAGCCAAACTCCATAACAATATCTTGGCTATATATACGGACAGTGTTGAGCAGCGATTCTATTTCAGATGATGTTTTTCCATACAGCTTCAGATCATCCATGTAAAGGAGATGGGATAGTCTGGCAGATGTTTTTGATGTTTGATAGCCATGTCCTGAGTTATTCAGTATTGTTGACAGAGGAAATCTGCAACTGTGTCTTCCATTGTGCCATCGATCTTTGCACAAATTTTCTGATGTTTCTACTGACTCCTGTTATTTCTAGGCACTTGATTATCCAGTCATGTGGCAGAGAGTCAAATGCCTTTTTGTAGTCAATCCATGCCACATGCAGGTTGGTCTTCCTTTTCTTGCAGTTTTTCAAGATCATTTTGTCTATTAGGAGTTGATCTTTTGTTCCTCTGCTATTGAGGCGGTTTCCTTTCTGCTCAGGTGGAAAGAGATTGTTTTCAACTAGATGCTGTTGTACTGCATCAGCTACCAGTTAGTAATTTGAAAGTTGTTGGTAAATAATAATAATAATTATTATTATTATTATTATTATTATTTCTACTTTACTGTAAAGCTACATTAACAGAATCTTCAAGTCTGACAGTATAATTCTCCCACCATCTCCTTTACAGCTCAGGGAATTAAGGAGGCTCCGTTCTGATCCTCTTGCCACATCTACTGTCCAACTGCTACCTCTTACCTGTTTTCTGCACGTCTCTTCACCCCAGCTCCTAAAGTCACTCCCACATAACATAGTGAATGACAACAAGCAGAGCCTTCCAATCTTGAAATTAATCTCTAACTGAAATTTAGGTTATCTTGTTATTGGTGTAGTAAATTAATAAAGTTTTTATATTAATATATTATCTAATATGGAGAAAGCTTAAAATCTAGCGTCATATTGACCACTGATAAGTGACTTAATCTGCTGCAATAATTAGTCTATGTGTTTGTGTGTGTATACACACCCATGTATGTATATATGGTTTGCAAGGCATACTATGTATCTACATATATTGAATGTGAGTGTATGTATTTTTATTGAAATATAGAACAAGAAAAAGAAGGCAACTCTATTGCCCTCCCATCTCCAGATTTAAGTAACTTGTCTTTCATGAAACTTGAGGATGGTGTCAAAAGCCCACTGACTTCTCTACTTAAAGCTCTGCTGCCAAGTTGCCAAGAAGGACCAAGATCTAGCAGCAGAATCCCTGCTGTCTTCTGAGAAAATTATTTCCTCTGACCGTAAATACAGGAGACTGCCAGCTCCCAGACACACTGAGATAAGACTTCACTCTCTAGATAAGCTCCTCTTATTCAGCCTTTTGACTGCTGTTGGCAGATAAGAGGCTCTGGATGGTTATAACAGGCCTGTCAGGGGGAGAGAGAGAGAGACATAGAGGGAGAGTAACTGAACAGAGAAACCAAGAGTTCTCATTGTAAAGAGAGGCAAAAGGGACTGAAATAGGGGGAAAGCCTTTGTTTTTATAGAGATCATGTTTCTCTGCTCATTCATGGTTGGTGGAGATTAATCCCTGGCTTGGAAGGCATAGTGACCAGCATGCACCGAGATCATCAAGGGATAAGGGGCAAGATTGCAAGAAGCTAGCTGCTTGACACTACTTGTAGTTAAGCAGAACTGGGAACATTTTAGACATCATTCCAAAAACTCACACCAAAATGGATAAAACCACAACCAAATTAAAAATATTGGAAAACTAAGTATTCTTCCCTAATTAGCACAATATTATTATTAGGCCAACCCAAAGCTTTCTTGCTTTATTTATATTTCGCTTTTTTTGGTCATTTCAAGATAGTATACATACCAAAAGCTCCCACCTGCTATTTTCCCTACAACCACCCTAGTATGTAGGTTGGGCTGAGGAAGATAACTAGCTCCAGCTAGTTTTTATGCTTAAGGGAGTGCTCTGTCAGTTTCTAGCTCAACATTTTAGCCATTGCATGGAACATCTGCATTCTCCAGAATTCTTCCCCAGTCATATTAGTAAACACATTTAAGAGACAGAAAAAATAAAGCAAAAGTGTCTTTTCTAAAACTATTATAAGCTACCTTTAGTAGTTCTGTAGAAGAATGAGGGGGAAGTTGCAGACATCACATTGCATGCATTCATTGGAATAGTTTCTAGTTGTAGCTAAGCCTTCTGGGATGAAAGAAAAGCAATTCCATCAGTTTTTGGAAATAAAATTCAACAGTTACTCAGATCTATCGCAATCCTTCAGTGAAATTCATTAGAAGGGGCGTTGTCTTACCCGAACGCCTTTTCTCAGTACAGAGATGGAGAATCCACCAATGGGTTTTCTCTGTCTGCCTGCTCTTGAGACCAAGTAGCCAAACTTGACATGCCCCCTGTGCTAGGAGATCCAGTCTTGACGAGGGCGAAAGTGGCTGATGCTAGAACAAGGTGTTGGCTCTCTAACCCCTAATAGTGGCCTAACGGACCTTAAGGGAGTGTGTGGATTCTCCATCTCCGTACTGAGAAAAGGCGTTCAGGTAAGACAACGCCCCTTCTCCAGTACAGGAGATGGAGAATCCACCAATGGGACATATACCAAAGCCTCACTGTCCCAATGGGTGGGAAAAAGATAAGGCCGGATCTACGTCCCCAGCAACCACCTGCTGGAGGACCCTCCGACCAAAGGAGGCGTCCGCGGAAGCGAAGCGGTCAATCCTATAATAGCGTACAAATGGGGAGGGCGAAGACCATGTTGCGGCCCTGCAAATCTCCTCAATGGATGCCTGAGTGGCCCGTGCCGCAGATGTCGCAGCGCTGCGAGTGGAATGGGCTGTGATATGGGCAGGGAAGAAGACTGGTACACCTCCGTGATACAAGCCCTAATCCACCTGCTTATAGTGGCAGCGGACACCTTCTATCCCAGGCAGAAGGAAATAAAGAGGGCCTCAGATCTGCGAAAGGGTTCTGTGCTCTTGCCCTGCAGACGTCCAGTGTATGCCACTGCCACTCCAAATCATGGGAAGGATTGGGGCAAAAGTTAGGCAAAATGACTTCCTGTGCCCGATAGAAGAGTGAGTTGACCTTGGGCGTGAAGGTGGGATCCAACCGAAGGACTACTCAGTCTCGATGGAAGATGCAAAGATTGTTCCTGACCAAGAGAGCAGCCAGCTCGAAGATACACCTGGCTGACATGATGGCGATTAGGAATGCGACCTTGTGAGATAAGGCTCGCAATGGAATATTAGCAATGGGCTCAAAGGGCAGTTTCATGAGTGCGCGAAGCACACGAGGCAGCTCCCAAGAGGGATACCTGTGTACCACGGGAGGCCTAGTGTTACATGCGCCCTTGATGAATGTGCATATCCTAGGATGGTGAGCTAGAGGGACTGAATCCGCGCAAGTGAGCAATGTCAATAGGGCCGCCACCTGCCTACGAAGGGTCGCAGGGGCCAGGCCTCTGTCCAGACTGTCGAGAAGGTAATCTACAATCTGAGGAATAGTTAATTTGTAAACCCCCAGTTTCTGCCTTCCGCACCAATGGCAAAAATTCTTCCAGGTGGAATCATAAATGCGATTGGTCGCTGGCCTATGAGAGGCCTGAATCATGGTGGATTGCCCATGGTGAGAACAACTCTTGTATCATGATGCTGCGCTCAAGCACCAGGTGGTTAACTGTAACCACTGAGGGTCTGGATGTTGGAGGACCCCCTGGTGTAAGGATACGCAATGCGGGGGAATCTTCCATGGAGGAGAACGGGACAGATTCATTAGGTTGGCAAACCAGGGTTTCTGTGGCCAGTATGGGGCCACGAGGATCACTTCCACCTGCAGTTTGCGGATGGTCGCCAGAATGAGCGGGGGGGGGAAGGCATAAAGTAGGCCCCCCAGTCACGGAGTCTGCAGGGCATCTGTCCCCTCCGCTCCTGGGAAGTAATAGTGGGAGAAGTACCTGGGAAGTTGGGCATTGCTCAATGACGTGAACAGGTCAAAGACCGGACAGCTGAATCTTTGGGATATCTCAGAGAAAAGATCCGGATGTAGTTCCCATTCCCAGGGGTCTATCGTAGAGCGACTCAGAAAGTCTGCCTGTTGGTTCTTGACCCCCGAGATATGTTCGACTCTGAGGGAGGCCAGGTTGGACTCTGCCCAGGATCCCAGCAACCGGGCCTCGGACATGAGGTACTTGGACCTGGTGCCCCCCTGCCGGTTCACGTGGGCCTTGGACGCCACGTTGTCTGTGAGGATCAGTACGTGACGGCCTCTGATCCGGTGGCGGAATTGGCGAAGAGCTAAGTGAATGGCCCTGAGTTCCAGCCAATTGATGTTGTGTCTCAAGTCTGCGTGGGACCAACGGCCCTGCGCAAACTGAGATTGTAGGTGGGCTCCCCAGCCAAATAGGCTGGCATCTGTCATGATGGTGAGCCAGTTCGGCTCCTTGAAAGGTGACCCCTTGGTTACTGCTTGTGAGAACCACCAGCGAAGAGACCTGAGGGTGTGGACAGGGAGCCTCACCTGCCGGCTGGATGCATTGGCGTTCAACTGTTGGAACAGTAGGAGCAACCATTGGAGCTCCCGCAAGTGGAGTCTGGCCCAGGGAACTATGGCTATGCAGGAGACCATCTTCCCTAGAAGTTGGGAGAGTAAGACCAGTGGAATGTTGCAGTTTTTGTATACTCAGTGAGTTAGGTCCCTGATGCTGACCACCCGCTCCTGGGAAAGATAGACCATACAGTTTGTGGTGTCTATGTTGGCTCCCAGATGCAGAAGCCCGGATGAGGGAACCGTCTGGCTTTTTTGGAAGTTCACCAAGAACCTGTGCTGTTGGAGGACCTGAATAGTTGCTTCCAGGTCCGACTGGGCTGCCTGGAAGGAGGACGCTTGGATCAAGATGTCATCCAGGTAGCACTGGACATATACCGGTATCTTCCGTAGATGGGCGGCCAGCACAGCCAGGATCTTGGTGAACACCCTGAGGAGAGGCCAAACGGGAGGACCTTGTATTGGAAGTGATGACCCCTGTAACAGAACCTGAGGAACTGCTGGTGATCTGGAAGGATGGGGATGTGGAGATACGCTTCCGTGAGGTCTATTGACGCCAGGAAGTCTCCCTGTCTGATGCTTCCCAGGATGGACTGGAGTGATTGCATTTTGAATTTTTTGTATGTGATGTAATGATTCAGACCCTTGAGGTCCAGAATTGCTCTCCATCCCCCCGAAGTCTTGGGAACTACGAAGAGGATGGAGTAGAATCCCCTTCCTTTCTGATCTGGCGGTACCAGTTCTATGGCCTGAATTTCTAGTAGATGTTGAATGGCCTCCTGCATAAGCCCCCTTTTTATTGGATCCCGTGAAGTGGAACAGGTGATGAAGTGACCCGGGGGACTGGCCAGAAATTCTAGGGACAGGCCAAACTGGATTGTTTGTAAGACCCAGGCGTCCATGGTTGTGAGTTCCCACTGATGGAAGACGTGTGGTATGAGAGTTACTTGGACCTCCTGTAGGGATGTTCTGCCCCTCGAAATGACCGATTGTTCTGGTTCTGCGGCCTGTGAAATCCCAATCTGTCATATGGACAGTCATATGGCCGGTCCGGTCTGGGTGTGTAGGGACGGGAGGGCTGGGTGACTGCTGAACCTGCTGCCGGCCGAAAGGGCTGCCTGCGAAAATAGGGTGTGGCACACTTGTCAGGCCGTTTGGTAAGATGAGCCATGACCTTCCATTTGTCCTTGTTTTCCACAAGATACGGAGTCAGGGCCTCCACAAAGAGATTGTTGCCCAAGTAAGGGGCAGTTGTGAGGCGCCATTTGGCCTTGGCGTCGGCCTGCCAGTGTTTTAGCCATATCATCCTTCTGGCTGTAACAATGGAGGCTAGGGACCTGGAAGCAAAGTTGGCCGACTGTAGAGTCGCGTCTGCAGTGTACTCCGTCGCCGCAACTATTTCGCTTAGATCCTGGTGGGTCCGAATGTCCTCGAAAGGGACTCTGGCCTGGAGCTGACAAAGCCATAAAAGTTTGGTTCGGACAAAGAAGGACGCACAAGTGGCCATTTTAATTGCCCATGCAGCCGATTGATGGGTCTTTCGAAAGGTTAAGTCCCATTTTCTGTCCTCCACTTTAAGTGCCTCCGCCATGTCCCCAGAGACCATGGTCTGGGACACCAGAGGGGTCCAGGCTTCGTCTACCTTGGGGACCTCCAGGGCCTCAGTTAGATCTGTGGAGGTACTAAACATCTTTTTGTCTGTCCCGCCTACAGAGGGAAAAGAAGAAGGGGAAACTCATTGCTTCTTGATCCCCTTAAGGAATATAGAAGGACAGGGAACATGGTGTTGGGCTGCCACCATTTCAAAGAATATCGGATTTGGGCTGGAATCCAATGTGGCCTGTGGCTGAGGGAACTATATTAGCCGTTTTGGTGGCCTTGCGGAGCAAGGGGAGAAACAGAGCTGGATTGAATAGGCCTCCCTGTGGAGAGGGTTCTGGGAGAGATTCCTCCTCCTCTGACAGGTTGAAGTCTGGCTGGTCACCACCCTGCGGAGATGAATATCCGCTGGCTGAGGAATGTGCAGGAGATGTGGGTTCCTGATACATAGGAACCCCCACTGGAGGGACATATGGTAGTATAGCTGATGTAGGAGCCTCCTGTCCGGACGGGTGGTAGGACCGTTCTGCAAGTGCGCGGTCCACCACCTTGGACAGCAGGGCCTCCAGGTGGCCATCGGAGAAAATGTCTCCGAAGTCTGGTCCCCTGAGTCTGGCAGCTGTCGGAGTGAAGGTGGCCTCCGGAACCGAACCTGAGGGGAGGGTCGGTAGACTGGTTGCTGCATGCTGAATTAGTGTTGCAGGGGGGCAATGTGTGGCAGAAGTTTCTGCCAGGGACCACACGCTCTGAGCAGAGGATGAAGGACCTAAAGGAAGGTCGAATTCAGGAACCACCAGTTGATCCGTCTCTGATCCTGCCTGTCTCTGCGCTCTGGAGAACTCCTTCTCCAGAGCCTGGTGCCTACGGCTGGCTTGCTTCTCTGCCAACTTGGAAGGCTTCTTAAGGGTGGCCTTAGCCTTGTTCTTGAGCTTGCCTGCTGCCTCCTGTTTGAATGTTTTGTGCCGGCCGTAACTGGAGGACGGGGAGACAGTGCTCATGGGTTGAGGCACTGTGGAGTCCTCCATCCTGGGTCGAGCTATCTCAGGAAA